CACAATAGAGTCCACAACAGGCAGAGGGTCGGGAGAGTCAGGGTCAGCCCCTAACCCTTCAAAATCCCTCTCTTGGACACAATCTGGCCACAATTTTCTCCAAGCAGAGTTCGAAGTCCTGGAAGTCACTCCCTCCCAAACCTTACCTATAAATCTTATGCAATTGAGGAGAGTGAAGTGATTCCTCCAGAACTCTCTTAGGGTCAACTGAGTGTCCGAGGTCACTTCAAAGCACTTTTGAAACACTGCTTTTGTGTGGAGTTAATTGAAGTTAGAAATAACCTGCTGGTCCATGGGCTGGAGGAGAGGAGTGGTATTTGGAGGCAAGAACTTCACTGTGATGAAACTGGAGTCCCTAAACACTTGGTCTTCCAAGTCTGGAGGATGTGCAGGGGTTTTCCAGTACCAGGGGACCTGGTGGAAATTTCTTTTTAGAGGTATTTTTTCACACTTGGGCCAAAACATCATTAACCCCTTTTGAAAATTTGCCTTGGGATCCCTGCCTATTTTGCCTTCCACATCACACACAAATTTATTTTTTACGACATTGTTCTTCTTGAACACGGGATTTCAGAGTGATACACCATAAAGGCCCCACTTGAAATCCCCACTAGCATTAGACACAACAAAAGCTAGCTTTTTTTCATGGTTGGTCCTGGCAGGATTTTTCCCCCTGTGTAATGTAGGGCCCCCTTTGGGGTTTTCTTCCAAAACAGGCCCCGCTTCGCACAAAAGACACTTGTTTGGGTTCAAACCTTTTGCCCCTTTTTTTTCCTTAAAAATTTTGCTACAAAATTTCAGCTGCTTTTTGTCAGAACTGTCAGCCTCACCATTTACTACATGTTATGCCCTACCTTCTTAAATCTCTCAAACCGCCTTTGGTGGCCCTAAATTCACTGACAGCACCACTTGTTCCAGGAGTTTTTCCACAAGATCCTCATGCAACTGCCTTGCCTTCTCACAAATAATCAACTCCACAACACTGTCTCTCACTAAATGTTTTTCCTTAATCCACAATAACAATAACTTTTCCATATCTTCCATTATTGGTGACCTTTGTTTCGTAATCACATTTAATCCTTTCACAACATCAGCTTCCTTGATTTGCTCTTTCTTTGCCAGGATGGAAGCCATGGTAGATTTATTTTTCCCCATACATCCTGGCAAGTTCCAGCACCCTCACACCACTCTCAAATTTTTCAATAACTTCTCACTGAAATTCCATGGTGTTTCTCACTTTCTTTGCTACAGGAACTTTACTAGGAACTTTCTTTGGAGCCATGGTTACTTATTTCGCAGTTGCACTGACAAAAAACCACCAAAAACAATGAAAAACAAGTGAAATGTTTGGATGAATGAGCAGAAGCTTCCTCATGCACCGAGACACAGCCAAACTGACATGCAAGCTGGCCCAGCCGGTGGAGGGACTCTGATAAGCGAAATAAGGCTGATAACCGGTAGCCGAAAAACTGGCTTATAACCGAGTTGGCCGATAACATAAACGACCGATAACTGGGGGTCCACTGTATATTTCCCTACAGTATATCTGCGAATCAAAACATTTGCAAATGCTACAGTACAGTATTATATTTCCCTACATCATATTTGTGCACCAAACATTCGTGAATTTTCAAGATTTGTGAGGTTCTTGATCCCCTAACCATCGCAAATGTGGAGGGCCTCCTGTAGCTCCAAATTTGCACATGAAAATCACTCCCTACGAAAGCAAAAGACTGGGCAGGAGATGCAACATCCCCCCATCCCCAATGAAAAGCAGGGATGCCACAAGTACCTTTGAAGAGTCTGAAGAGTTTCGAGAGTTTCTCTACTCTCTGAGCCCAGCCATGGGCCAGGCTCATACACTAAGGTCAGGGGCCCAAGACTGTTTAACTGCCTCCCAGCATACATAAGGGGGATTACAAATAGACTCCTGGCTGTCTTTAAGGAGGCAGTGGACAGGCACCTAGTCAGTACCTGACCAGCCAGGCTGTGGTTTGTACATCAATTTGCATGTAGCCAACAGCAACAGCCTGGTTGATCAGGCTCTGATCCACCATGAGGCTTGATCACAGACTGGGCTGCAGGGGCACTGATCTCCCAAAACCCTCTCCAGGTATTACCTGGAGTTTACCTGGAGAGAGTTCCGGGGGTCAACGCCCCCGCGGCCCGGTCTGTGACCAGGCCTCCTGGTGGATCAGAGCCTGATCAACCAGGCTGTTGCTGCTGGCTGCACGCAAACCAACGTACGAGCCACAGCCCGGCTGGTCAGGAACCGACTTTAGGTGCTTGTCCAGTGCCAGCTTGAAGACTGCCAGGGGTCTGTTGGTAATCCCCCTTATGTATGCTGGGAGGCAGTTGAACAGTCTCGGGCCCCTGACACTTATTGTATGGTCTCTTAACGTGCTAGTGACACCCCTGCTTTTCATTGGGGGGATGTTGCATCGTCTGCCAAGTCTTTTGCTTTCGTAGTGAGTGATTTTCGTGTGCAAGTTCGTACTAGTCCCTCTAGGATTTTCCAGGTGTATATAATCATGTATCTCTCCCGCCTGCGTTCCAGGGAATACAGGTTCAGGAACCTCAAGCGTTCCCAGTAATTGAGGTGTTTTATCTCCGTTATGCACGCCGTGAAGGTTCTCTGTACATTTTCTAGGTCAGCAATTTCACCTGCCTTGAAAGGTGCTGTTAGTGTGCAGCAATATTCCAGCCTAGACAGAACAAGTGACCTGAAGAGTGTCATCATGGGCTTGGCATCCCTAGTTTTGAAGGTTCTCATTATCCATCCTGTCATTTTTCTAGCAGATGCGATTGATACAATGTTAATTCCTTGAAGGTGAGATCCTCCGACATGATCACTCCCAGGTCTTTGACGTTGGTGTTTCGCTCTATTTTGTGGCCAGAATTTGTTTTGTACTCTGATGAAGATTTAATTTCCTCGTGTTTACCATATCTGAGTAATTGAAATTTCTCATCGTTGAACTTCATATTGTTTTCTGCAGCCCACTGAAAGATTCGGTTGATGTCCGCCTGGAGCCTTGCAGTGTCTGCAATGGAAGACACTGTCATGCAGATTCGGGTGTCATCTGCAAAGGAAGACACGGTGCTGTGGCTGACATCCTTGTCTATGTCAGATATGAGGATGAGGAACAAGATGGGAGCGAGTACTGTGCCTTGTGGAACAGAGCTTTTCACCGTAGCTGCCTCGGACTTTACTCTGTTGACGACTACTCTCTGTGTTCTGTTAGTGAGGAAATTATAGATCCATCGACCGACTTTTCCTGTTATTCCTTTAGCACGCATTTTGTGCGCTATTACACCATGGTCACACTTGTCGAAGGCTTTTGCAAAGTCTGTATATATTACATCTGCATTCTTTTTATCTTCTAGTGCATTTAGGACCTTGTCGTAGTGATCCAATAGTTGAGACAGACAGGAGCGACCTGTTCTAAACCCATGTTGCCCTGGGTTGTGTAACTGATGGGTTTCTAGATGGGTGGTGATTTTGCTTCTTAGGACCCTTTCAAAGATTTTTATGATATGGGATGTTAGTGCTATCGGTCTGTAGTTCTTTGCTGTTGCTTTACTGACCCCTTTGTGGAGTGGGGCTATGTCTGTTGTTTTTAGTAACTGTGGGACGACCCCTGTGTCCATGCTCCCTCTCCATAGGATGGAAAAGGCTCGTGATAGGGGCTTCTTGCAGTTCTTGATGAACACGGAGTTCCATGAGTCTGGCCCTGGGGCAGAGTGCATGGGCATGTCATTTATCACTTGTTCAAAGTCATTTGGCTTCAGGATAACATCGGATAGGCTTGTGTTAACCAAATTTTGTGGCTCTCTCATAAAAAATTCATTTTGATCTTCGACTCTCAGTCTGGTTAGCGGCTTGCTAAAAACTGAGTCATATTGAGACTTGAGTAGCTCACTCACTCACTCCAAGTATGAGAACTTCTAATTTCAGGGCATCCAATAGTGAAGGAGTTTTACATATAATGTAACTGTCAATCTATTTTTGAAAATGAATGTTATTTTTCATAACTTTTTTGCTGGTCATCTTGTCGTATTCTGGATTTGAGCTCAGGGTCAGTCACGTAGTTCTACATTCAGAGCTCAGCTCACTCAGAAAAGCTATGAGCAGTAAATTTTGGCCTAGATATGAGATAATGGGTCTGTGTAGCGAGTGTGTACACCAATAAAAAATCCTGCCCCACAGGGTGCAAGATTGGAAAAACAAAACTGCGTGTATGCTTTAAAATAGCAACTTTGCGGAGTATTTTTGAATGGTTTTTATGGTTTTATTGGCTGTTTCTTCGTATCGTTTAATAAAATATAAGACATATAACTGGAATAGAGATTATTTTGATTGGTTTCAGGTTTGAAATGGCTTGAGCTTATTAAAGTAGTGAAAATATAAAATTTTTGTTCATATTCCAGAGGATGGGTAAGGCCCCTTACAATCCCCAGTCCTTTTTACAAGGTTTTAATATATCTGATTCAATTACTGGGACACTGTAAACCATGAACAATCTCTTCTGGTTATATATCATTATCTAAGAAATAGAGTAAATCTATTTTATGAGTGAATAAGAATTAAAAATGAAAAGTAAGTGTAATATGGGAGAGGCCTGGGGACATGACTAATGAACAGAGGAAATGTTTAGTGTGTTTATTATAGACTATTTTTAATTTGGCATTTTTTAATTTTGGGTGAATTTGGCCAATTTACCTAATTCTGATCACTTTATTGGGCAGCTGAAATTGTTGAATGGGTAATTTCTTGTGCTCAATTGACAGAATGGAAGGCATGCTAGTGAAACAGCTAAGAATATCATCAACTGGAACAATGTAATTGGCCTAAAATAGAACTCAGAGTGAGTGAAATTACCAGTGTGTAAATTGCACTTAGACTGCTAACTTTGCAGTGTAATTCAGTAAGTTTTCTATCAAATTTTGTACATTTGGTGTCATTACCTTCAGAAAAAGATTCTTTACCATAAGATTTTTTTTTTTTAAATTTTGGACATTGAGAACAAATTTTAAATTGTGGATCTGGACATTGACAGGGTTAAAACTAGTTAACTTTTCTTAGATTCTAGGAAAATATTCTATAATATACACAAGACAACCACAGTAATTTACCTTTCAATAAGGGAATTAGTGCTGTATAAGTGACCACATTCCTTAATGAAGGCTGTAGTGTCCTGGACAACTTTATACTGCTTCCGGAAGACACTTCCAAACATGAGTAAGGGAACAAGAACTTCTTGAACTAGATGAACACAAGACTTGGGATCCAAGTTGTTCCTGATGTTTTCTCTTGCTAGTGTAGTTACTAAACTCTGTGACACGTGGGCAGCAATGCCCTGTACACCTTCTCCAGCAACCAGCATTTCCTTTGACATCTGTTAACAAATAACAAGATATATTTGTATTCTTTATACCTTGTATGCATTTTTGACTTGAAGATAAGCATATGTTTATGACGATGCAGCTGTATGTATCTGAGTTGCTGTGGATGTATATATGTATGTGTTTCAGCTGCTGTGGGCACATGTACACGTGCAGACACACATCATAGCACATTACAAGTTATACATTCTCCAGGACACAGGGACACAGCACACACATTCATGCACTTTTGTCCACACAAAGCAGGCACTCTCTTCCTTACTGAGGGGAACCTTGGGTGTCCAACATAGTAACCTGATTGCCATCTAGGACGCCTTCATTGCTGATTGTTTCAATGACGGCGGTTTTGAGGGGACTTGAGTTAGAGTTCATCAAGGACATGCTGGCGAGATATATATCTGTAAAAACCTGCATATGTGGTCACAGTGAGGCCCATGTTAACCTCCCAATGGTGTATAAATATACCTATCTTATTGTAGCCAGCTAGCCAAGTGGCTTACGCGATGGCCTGAAATTTTATGACAGTAAGGTACAGTAACTACAGTAAGGTACAGTAACCACAGTAAAGTAACTGCAATAAGGTACAGTAACTACAGTAAGGTACAGTAACTGTAGTAAGATACAGTAACCACAGTAAGGTAACTACAGTAAGGTACAGTAACTATAGTAAAGTACAGTAATGACAGTAATGTACAGTAACCTCAGTAAAGTACAGTAATGTACAGTAACTACAGTAATGTACAGTAACCTCAGTAAGGTACAGTAACTACAGTAATGTCTAGTAACCTCTGTAAGGCACAGTAACTAGAGTAGGGTACAGTAGCCTCAGTAAGGTACAGTAACTACAGTAAGGTACAGTAACTAAAGTAACTACAGTAAGGTATAGTAACCACAGTAAGGTAACTACAACAAGGTACAGTAACTACAACTACCTAACACAAGGCTACACACAATAGTTTACTATAACACCTGAACACATTAACCTGAGTAATGAATCCATGATAATCCATGTTGAGCAGTGCATCTCTGTGGAACAAGAGCTCTGCCACACAGCCAACCAGCGACCGGTAAAGGTTACAGCCCTTCCTGTACTCCCGAGATGACACCCACATCACCTTCAGCAGCTCTTGCCATGTTCCACTCTGAAATTGGCAAGAATGCAATATTTCTGCTCATAAACTTGAAAAAAATGGTCTATTGCATCTTAGCCTTACCTGTACATGCATGAAGCAATATTACCAGTAATACAGACAGGCCCTGCTCATACAGCAAGTTAGGCTCTGGGCTACTGCTGTAAAGCAAAAATCACTGTAAAGTGAATCAGTCCTTTTTTCACTTTCAAATGCATATAAAAGCCAGATAACATGTTTAAACTATCATATATCAAATAAGCAATAGATATAGGTCTAAAAAATGCTTATCCAGTACACACATTATTTACCTTAAAATATTTTTGGCCTTAGCTTATAATGAGTGGTGAATATATTGAAGGAAGTCTGAATAATGAAGAACGGGTATATTGAAAACCTGTGTATTAGGGAACCATCGTAAAGTGCAGCGTTGTAAAGAGAGGCCCTCCTATTTAGGTTTCATTTCCTTTGTTGGGGGGTTTGTTTTGTGTTCACTTTATTCGGGTCTGTTTTACCTGGGTTAACTTTATGCAGATTCACTGTATACAAATTTACTATCAAACAGGGCTCCATTTCTATCCACAATATTGAATGTACAGTATGATCCATATTCACTGTATGAAATCAGTGTGGTTCACCAGCTGTACTGAAGATAATTTTGGTGCAAAATAGTGTCACTGGCTTGACTGAGCTTGGTGTAGCTGCTATGGACCTGGAATGTATCTACTCACAATGGTGAACTAACAGTCTAAGCTACTCATAGCAAATTAAAAAGTATTCTGATGATGTAGACAACAGTGACAGTGAGGAAAGTAGTGATAAAGATTCTTTTTTTCTTGTCTTGATTCAGGTAACCAAAATGTTAACTTTTTCACTGTCAAGATCCCCAAAATCAAAATTTCCGTGTCCACATTGAAAAAAGTATTCTCCTGAAATGGTAGAGATTTTTTTTTAAGTTAATGACACCAAAAGTATCAAATTTGATGGAAAATTTGCAGAATTATGCAGATGCAAAGTTAGCAATCTGGTCACAATTTACGCATCAGCGATTTCACCCATTTTGAATCTTATTTTAAGCCAATTCCACTTCACTTCCATCGCATTTTTAGTTATATCATTAGAATGCCTTCCATTATACTGAATGAGCACAAGAAATCACCCATTCAACTATTTGAACTACCCTATAAAGTGCACACAAATCAGTAATTTAACCAATTTTACACAAAATTATAAAAATCCAGTTGAGAAAGAGAGTTCAAATTAAACACTGTAAACATTTCAGGCACTAAAGCAATATTTCTTCTGTTCATTAAATATGTCCCCAGGCCCCTCGTATATTAAATTTGCCTTTCATTTAGAATTCATTATCACAAAAAAATTGAAGAATTACACTATAACCAGGAATGACTGATCATGGTTTGCAGCATCCCAATACATGTAATTGAATCAGACCTATGAAAAATCCATAAAATAAACCAGGAATATCAGCAAAAATTGAATATTTCAGCCACTTTGAGCTCAATTTCAAGCTACTTTCAGTCCTGAAACTGTCTGTTTCAAGTTGTTTCATGTTATCAAGTGATAACAAGAAACAACCAAAAAAAATCATAAAAACCACATCAGAATCACAGAATCACTAATTTAAACCAAACACAGGGTCAGAGTTTTGCTTTTCCCATCATGCACTGCATGGGGTAGGATTTTAATACTGTACACACTCACTGTACAGACTCCAGTCTCTTGAATATAAGCCAAAATTTACCACTCACAGCTTTTCTGAAGGAGCTGACCTGAAAATGAAGACCCATGTGAGGGATCCTGGCATCAATGACAAAGATATTTGTGATAGACAATGAATGGGTTAATAACATCAGAAACACAAAAAGTGCCAGTTCCATGCAAGATACAGCAGTGGCGTCCACCTTGCTATACAATAAAGTAAAAGAAAAAAGCTTCATACTCCAGAAAATGAAAGTGTTGAAACAGTATTGGCAAAAATAATGAAGACAGATGTACAGTAGGGCCCCGCTTTACGGCATTTCACCTTATGGTGTTCCACTAATATTGCAATTTCAAATTATGACCAAAACTATTTATCAGGCAACCCGTCTTTCTAATATGGCGTGCCCCACCCAGTTTGTTTACATTCTCCGTGAGCACATCTCTCTATTATGTCTGGAAACTTTCCAAAATTTCAAGTGTTTTAAAGTTATTGCATATTTTATATGTGCTCTGATAATAATACTTGTGTACCTGTACCTAAATATACTTATACACTGTGCTGGTGTGCAGGTACACATCAAAATCCCTAAGTGTATTCCTCTAGTCTTAACGCCATAGTAATACTAATACGTAGTACAGAATAATAATCACTCTTGGTCACATTAAATGTCTTATTTTACGTTAATATAGACATTTTCATTAATCCATCTATGATCTTTTCTACAAAATTATACAAGAAACACATTACATAGCATATAAACATGCTATGTTTATATGCAATGGAGAGGTGGTAGCCGGGCAGAGAGAAAACATTACGTAATACTAATAGTACGTAATAACAATCACTCTGGGGCACATTAAATGTCTTATTTTATATTAACCCTTTCAGGGTCCAGAGGCAAAATTTCAATGGGTGTCCCAGTGTCCAAGAAATTTTTTGGAAAAAAAAAAAAAAAAAAAATTCTTACAGGATTAACCCTTTGAGGGTCAAGAGGCCCTCTCACAAACTCGTTCTCAGGGTCAAAAAAAAAAAAAAAAAAAAAAAAATCTTATGAAATGATAATCTTTTTCAGATCATAGTGACACCAAAACTATGAAATTTGATGAAAAAACATACGAAATTATGCTCTTGCGAAGTTAGCGGTCTCAAAGTTAGCGATTTCGCCCGCTTTGGGCCCTATTTTCGGCCAATTTCAACGTTGCAGTTGACTAAAATCATAGCTATTTCCCTAGAACTCCATTTGTTCTATCGAATGAGTACAAGAATCTGCCCATTTACCGATTTCAACTAAGCAATAAAGTGGTCAGAATTTGGCAATTTGGGCAATTTCACAGAAATTTCAAAAGATGCCAATTTCAAAATAGGGTTCAGAATAAACAAGACAGACATTCATGGCAGTAAAATAACATTTTATCTGTTTATAGTCATGTCTCTAGGCCCCTCTTACATTACTTTTGCTTTCCATTTTGAATTTTTATTCTCACAGAAAATAGAAAGTTTTGTTATGTATACTACTGCAACATTGTAAAAATGGTATAAATGATATCAGCGCACTTATGAAAGAATAGCAGACTCACCAATTGATGTGTATTGGATGCATGGCATGATTTGTTTACTCTTGAATATCGGCAAAAATCGATAATTTTCGCTACTTTGAGCTCACTTTCAAGGTACTTGTCATTGTGAAACCAATCAAAATCATCTCTAATTTTGTAAAATATCTTTCATTCTATTAAATGAGGCCAAGGAAATGAGAATACAACCATAAATACCATACAAAAATTCACTAGAAATTCGCTGTTTTAAACCAAAAACACAGTCGAAGTTTCTTTTTTATTATGCACAGCGTGCTTCAGGATTTTTTTTATACTGCGCACACTGACCACACAGACCCATTCTTTCATATGTAGGCCTGCCAGCTTTCTTCCACCAGATTTGAAGGCACTAGAATTTAGGCGTAGAAGTACGTGGCAGACCCTGGCTACAATGATGTACTAGTACGTGACCGACCCTCAAAGGGTTAAAGACAATTTTGTGAAGGTAATAAAACAAAAAAATCTGATCAGTGCTTACCGAGATACAGAGGTGTGAACTTGACCCAAAATGACCGAGTGGCGGCAACATCAGCGACTTCAGCAAAATTGCATTCCTTTATTTTACGTTTTTTATACATTTTTTTCTTTTCTAATTTTTTTTTTTCTAGTAACATTTATGGCCTGTGAGACCAATACTGTATATAATGTATATATATACACTCACTATATTGAACACAATAACTGCACTAAAGTTATTATAATAATATTGTTTACCAGTACAGTGGACCCTCGACCAACGATGGCATCGTCTAACGTTAAATCCGACTAGCGATACATTTTAACGCAAAAATTTTGCCTCGACATACATAGTACTGTAATGTAATGAACATTATTTCATTCTTTTTACCATAATTTACTTCTATTGATATATTTTAATTATTTATGTACTGTATATGTATACATGGTAGTGAACTGTATTGTAAATTTTACATCTCATACAGTATCATATGTTACTGCTATCTTAAAGTAATATCGACAGAGTGGAATGGGAGAATACCACTGGTAGTGTCATCCTGCCAGAATGTCCTATAACCTATACCCTAAGTAAAGAAAAACAACTCTGGAACATGTGTAATACATATCCGGCTGGCTGGCTGACTGAATGTGGCTGTCCCTCTTTTTTTTTTTTTTTTTTTTTACACAGGGTTTGACAAGGTTAGGTTAAGGATCCCTAGCTTTATTGACAAGCTATTTACAGGTTAAGGATTCCTAACTTTATTGGCAAGCTAAGAGCTATTACCTACATCAGCTCATTTGAACGCATTTTTATTGTTATGAGACATACAAGTAGGGAACAGGATAAAGTTGGAGCCATCTGTGGGCCAGCATTTTCATTTGATCAACTGACTTTATCTCGTTGATATCATTATGCCGTACGAATGTGTTCCACACTCGAGTCATCCTGGGTATATATGATCTCAGATGGAGTGATGTTCTGGAGAAGGGTACAGCCAGTGTCAAGTTGCTGCTTTCTGCCCGTCTTGTGGCATAAAAGCTTGTTTCACGCTGTCCTCGAAGTGGATCCAAGTGTGGTACTTTGACAATAATGGCCTTGTACATAACAGTAAGGCCATCCATATCCCACCTGTGTTGAAGGCTCTACTGAAATGACAGATCTATCCAGGATGGGTCCAGGCGAGAGATGAGATGTCTTGCTCTGTTCTCTACTCTGTCAAACAGTCGCAGATGACAGG